ACTGTTCTTAATCTTCCTGGGGACTGTTGAAAGGGCAGCCTGGAAAATGGGAGACAAGTTGAGTCTGAGGACTCCACCTCTACTGAGGGAAGGATTTTCTGCTTTGGCACAAATGGATTCCTTTACTCCTCTCTCAAACCACCTATCTTCTCTGTCCAAAATGTGAACATTATTGTCGTCAAATGAGTGTCCTTTTTCTTTTACATGAAGGTAAACTGCTGATTCTGGTCCTGTGTTCTTGCTCCTCCTGTGCTAGGCCATCCTCTTGTGTAAAGGCTGCCTCTTGTGTAATCCTTCCCTGTACATACACATCAAGTCTGTACACACACTTGATGTGAAACTTCAATGGCATCCTATAAATACAAATATAGCTTCTCTTATGTACACTGAAACTTTGACTATATATCCAGCATGCATTTTTAGATGCCACTACAGAATTCAGCAAAAAAATCTCTTGCGCTATAAATTTCAGAGGAGCTTGCATAGGAGAATTTTGAGCTGGACCATGGCCAGTGGCTAAAGCTACTAAAAAAAACTTGTCAATATGAAAAATGTGGAAGCCTTCATTGATATCAACATATTACAAATCGTCAGCCTACATTTAGGATCTTGTATTGATAAAATGTGGTCAGTACAAAAAACAGCGCATGTAAAACCTGTAATGGCTCTTCTGTGAGGGAAACAGGCATCTCTAAACAAACTTCTCAGTGACCAGGTTCTTTTAGGATTGGGGTTGAACCACCTTTCGGTGGGCATAGGTTCACATTTTATGGGGGGGGGGGAAGCAAAAGCAATGGCCCAAAGTAGGCAGGGTATATGTATATGGGAAGGCCAAGATCTTTAGGTTTTTCCTAATGTTTTTTGGGAGGTGGAGTTTTTCCTTTTTTTGAAAAAAGATTGTACTGAGGTAAGCTACTTTTCAGGCAAACTCTACACTTTTCTGTTTCCTCTTTGAAACGGTTGGAAAAGGAACCACTAATTTTCAGCAATCATGCCACTATAATTTAGCAGCTCAGCTTCAGGACCCACAAGGAGGAATTTGGTCCCCCACATAGGTTTAGACCTCTTGTGCTTTGAAATTAACTTGTATGTATGTATGTATGTATGTATTTATTTAGTGGACTTGTCCCCGCCCATCTCCCCACAATGGGGGACTCTGGGCAGTTTACATCTTACATTTGTTGAATAGGCAACTTTTACAGACTCTGCTTTGCAGAAGAGCCTTCCTGAAATCATGTAACAATTCCTATTCCACTTGAATGAAACAATCCTGCATTTTAAAATAACATAATGCTAAATTGTGCCAGTCAAATACAGAGGGGGAATCACATATTTAAATACTATCCAATTTCCCTCAATATATAAAAATCTCTCTAAACACACAGAATGTTTGCATAGTAGAGAGAAAATTACTCTAGACCCCTTCTCCATTACCTACTGACTTTATCTAGATATTTACATTTTTTAATCTAAGGAAACACTGAACTAAAGCAGCATAATCCAGAAACAGATGATCATCAAGCAAGTTTGCTGATTGCATACCTCAGCTCTTGTTTTCCAAATTGATGGCAGATGTTGAAGTTTGACATTTTAAAAAAAAGTAAACGCTTATTTGGTCCCTTCTACTTTTCTACCTGGAGGCAGGCATGAACACAGTTGCACCACGGGTTTTGTGAAGTTGTCAAATGTTTTGTGAGTTATCACAAAATTGTTAAATGTTTTCTGAGGTTATGATAATGCTAGTTTTTGAGGTCTTTCCATCTGCCTTCACAGTATTGAGGTGACAACTGAGAGGAACACATTGTGTTCTTGGGGGCTGCCCTCGCTTCTAGTACACCATGCTAATATAGGCTACCAAAGGCATGTTTATTCAGACAACGAGAGTTATGAAGTTAGTTTTCATTTGGTGAAGGTTCTTATTTCTACTTATTCATGGGGGAAGATTAATAAGTTGCAGAGGTTTACCTTTTTATTATTTTATTAGTATTTTATTTTTACCCAATAGTACATTTGGTGGGTGAAGTGATAGGATTTACATCTAATATGAAATACATGAATGAAGATCCCCCAACCTAAAGAGATACAAATCTTCAACATGTCAAGACGGATTTAAATTGCCATCCTTCCATTACCTTGTAGCCACTTCCTGCTTGCACTAATATACTAGCAGCCCACTCCTCTAACTTCTCTGAACACTTTGAGGGTTGCCAACTCAAGTTTTCATATTCCTGTTCAGAAAAAAATTCTGCCGAATGAAGAAGTTCCTTTCTCAGATCAGAAGATGAGAAATCAAATTCTGATTATTGCTATTGTTTTAACAAGTCTGTCCATGACAGTCAACAAGTACACATCATCTCGTCCTTACCTGCATGGACTGTCCCTGGAGGTGAAGCCTCTCTTTGCACACCGCTTCATAAAAATCATAATATTCCATGAAAGACTT